TTTTTTAATTCTAGAAAATGCAAAACTGTACTGAAGAAAGCAAATTAGTGGTTGCAAAGCAGCAAGGTGGTAAGGGAGGGGAAAGAGATTAAATGCAAAATGAGCAAAAAACTTTGCGAATGATGAAGATCTTGGTAGTGATGGTAATTAAAAATTGTGAACTGTCAGTCACCAAAATCAGTGAGTTTTATTGAATGCAAATCATGTCACATAAAATGAATAAAAATTTAAAAATCAGAAAAACATACTGAATATGGTAAGAATAAATTAAGTTCTGTATATGTGAGTAAACAGCACTTTACTCCTTCTTTTGAATTATTTTCCTAAAATAAATGCTCTGGAGTTAAATTAATAAAATAATATAGAGACTGATCAATTTTGGCTCTTAATCCTTACCAGTTAATAAAATTAGAAATTTCTTTTTGCGATAAAAATTTTATTTTTTACTACATTTTTAAGGAATAAGATTTTTGGTAGTCTTATTTGCATGTCAGATATTCTTATCAAAAAAGTCTAAACCTTAAGACTTTTAAAGTGGAAGAGGATACTGAGAAGACTGCAGTAATGAAATCTTTCCAAATTAAAAAACAAAACAAAAAGTTAATCAGAAAAAAACACAAAACCCCACAAAGGACTGACAGCTTACCTTCATGATCCCTAAAATACAAGTAAGTTAGGATAAATAGTCAGTTTGTTGGTTCAAACTCACCATTCGCTCTTACACAGGGTCACTATAGGTCAGAACTGACTCAAAAGCATTTAACAAACCCACAAGATCTGCATGATAACAGCACCCATGTGGGAGAAAAGGGGCAGCAATGGGACAACTGATGAACCAGAACATAAGAGAACCCCACAAATAGACAAAATAAATTCACTGAGTACACACCCACTCCACCACTCGTTTGTCAGTTTTTTGTACTGTAGTGCAATACATGTTGCTGTGATTCTGGAAGCTATGCCACCAGTATTTTAAATACCAGCAGGGTCACCCATGATAGACAGGTTTCAGATGAGTTTCCAGATGAAGACAGACTAGGAAGAAGGAGAGATGGACAGCTTACAAATACTGAGTCACTGAAAACCTTATGAATAGCAGTGGAATACTGTCAGCACCAGGTTATGGGCTATTGAAACATGATGAAGAGCACCGGAATATTGTCAGCTATAGTGCCGGAAGATGAACCACTCAAAATGTGACTGAGGAAGAGTTGCCTCCTCAAAGTAGAGTTGACCATAGTTGACCATGATGATGTGAACAGAGCAAAGCCTTCGATACCTTCATTTGTTGATGGATCACAACTCAAAATAAAGAGAAAGAGCTGTAAACATCAATTAATAATCGGAACATGGAATGTACAAAGTATAAATCTAGGAAAGCATAAACAACATGGATATCCTAGGCATTTTTGCTGGTACTAGCCATTAGGAATCTGACAATCACATGGTTTACTATGCTGGGAATGAAAAACTGAAGAGGAATGGTGGCGCGTTCATCATCAAAAAGAACATATCAAGATCTGTCTTAAAGTACAAAAGCTGTCTGTGATAAGGTATCCATCTGCCTATAAGGAAGACCAGTTAATACCACTATTATTCAAACTGATGCACCAATCACTAAAGCCAGTGATGATGAAATTGAAGAATTCTATCAACTTCTTCAGAGTCCTGGTGTGGTGCTGTGAATTAATGTACTGGACTGCAAAGTCAGTTTGAACCGCAAGGTCAGCAGCACACATTCACCAGCCGCTCCTTGGAAACCCTATACAGGGTCACTATGGGTCAGAAGCACTTAATAATAACAACAACAACTTTTTCAATCTGAAACTGATCAAACATGTAATTATGATGTGTTGACAATTACTGGTGATTGGAATGCAAAAATTGGAAACTAAGACGAAGGATCAGTAGTTGGAAAATATGTCCTTAGTGATAGAAATGATGCTGGAGAGCATATGACAGAATTTTGCAAGACCAATGACTTCTTCAATACTTAAAAAAAAAAGCTTTTATTGTGCATTGAGTAAGTTTACAGGGGTGAACATCAGTTTTGCACTCATCCTATCATATTTCATATCATCGCAATGATTATAATCCCCTCCCGCTCCATGCATCACCATTCAACAGTACAAATACCTTTTTAAAACAACAAAGACGACGACTATACACATGGACCTCAGCAGATGGAATGTACATAAATCAAATTGACTACGTCTGTGGAAAGAGATGGTGGAAAAGCTGCATATCATCAGATAAAACAAGATCAAGGGTAGACTGTGGAACAGACCATCAATTGCTCATTTGCAAATTCAGGCTGTAGCAGAAGAAAACTGAAACAAATCCACAAGAGCCAAAATATGACCTTGAACATATCCCAAATGAATTTAGAGATCATTGAAAGAACAGATTTCATGCATTAGATACTAAATACCCTAGAGTTGTGGGATGGCATCAAGAACATCATACAAGAAGAAAGCAAAAAGTCATTAAGACACTAAAAAAATAAAAAAAAGACAATAAAAAAGGAAGACACTAAAATGGATGTCAGATGAGACTGAAGCTTGCTCTCCAGTGTAGACATGTTAAAGCAAATGGGAGATGTGGAGGTAAAAGAGCTAAATAGAAAGTTTCAAAGAGCAGCTCAAAAAAACAAAGTCAAACATTGTAACAAAATGTTCAAAGACCTGAAGGGGGAAAACAAAAGGAAAGAACACTCTAAGCATTTCTCAAGCTGAGGGAATGGAAGAAAAAAAAAAAATTCAAGCCTCAATTTGCATTATTGAAGGATTGTTGTTGTTGTTGTTGTTAGGTACCATCGAGTCAGTACCAACTCATAGTGACACTATGCACAACAGAACGAAATACCACCCGGTCCTGGGCCAACCTCACAATTGCTGCCACGCTTAAGCCCATTGATGCTGCCACTTTGCCAATCCATCCCATTGGGGGTCTTCCTCTTTTTATCTGACCCTCCACCTTACCAAACATGATATACTTCTCCAGCGACAGCTCCCTCCTGACAATATGTCCAAAGTATGAGAGATAAAGTTTGGCCACCCTGGCCTCCAAGGAGCACTTCTTCCAACACACATCTGTTGGTTCTTTTGGCAGCCCATGACACCTTCAATATTCTCCTCCATAACTCAAAAGCATCAATTCTTCTATGGTCTTCCTTATTTACTGTGCAGCTTTTGTATGGATATGAAGTTACTGAAAATACCATGGCTTGGGTCAGGTGCACCTTAGTCCTCAAGCTGACATCTTTGTTCTTCAACACTTTAAAAAGGTCTTGTGCAGCAAATTTGCCTAATGCAATACGCTGTTTGATTCCTTGACTGCTGCTTCCATGAGTGTTGATAGTTGATCCAAAAAGAATGAAGTCCTTGACAACTTCAAGCTTTTCTCCATTGATCAAGAATGTTGTTTATGGAGTTTTGTTTTCTTTACATCGAGATGCAATCCATACCAAAGGCTGTGCTCTTTGATATTCACCAGTAAATATTTTAAGTCCTCTTCACTTTCAACAAGCAACACTGTTATTATCTGCATATCACAGGTTATTAATGAGTCTTCCTCCAGTCCTGATTCCACGTTTTTCTTCATATAACCCAGCTTCTCAGATTATTTGCTCAGCATACAGGTTGAAGGATATTATGGGCAAAATATTGAATGATGCAGAAAGCATCAAAAGTAGACAGAAGGAACATAATGAGTCATTACGCTAAAAAGAAATGATCGATGTTCAACCACTGTAAGAGGCAGCGTATGATCAAGAACCAATGATACTGAAGGAAGAAGTTCAAGGTGCACCGAAAGAATTGGCAAAGAACAAGGCTCCAGTAATTTATGGAATACAAATTGACGATATTCAACAAACTGATGAAGCATTGG